TGTGGAGGATCCGTCCGTGACGACTATCATTTCAATATAATGTTCACTTATATGGATTTTTTTTCTCTTACCTTTTTTAAGATAATCTTTCTTTACGTCTTGAGAGATCGCAATCGGTTCCTCTGCCGATCGCGTGTTGCCGCTTCTGTCTCTCCTTTCTTCTCGCTCCTCCCCCTCTCCGCCCTCCGCTGAGCCCTTCTTCCTACATCTTTCTCCTTACAGGCCTATTAGTGTATGCATTTTCCGGAAATACAAAAAAAAAAAAAAAGCAAATAGTTATGCGAGGAAAAGTACAAGTTGGATCAAAAGAAGATGGAAGATATTACGGTAATAGTAGCTATTCCACTTTACTGTCCCCTGCACAGTACGGGGATCGCAGCGTTGTTCGCCGTCTAGCTCCCTGTGCCGTGTACAGTGCCCTTATTTCCTTGTTTATTGGTAATAATATCATCTCTCAAAATGCTTCTTATTATAATTATCATCATCACTCTTATCATTATCATCATCATCATTATTATATTGTTATTATTACCATTACTATTACTCTCCTTCTTCTTTTTCTTCTTCTTCATATTATTATTATTATCATTGTTTTTATAATTATCAAATTTATTACTGTTGTGATTATTATGATGATGATTGTTATTATATTATCATTATCATTATTATCATAGTTATTATTATTTTTGTCATCATCATCATCATTATTATCATCATCATTATCGTCATCATCATCAACATCATCATTACCATTCTCATTCGCATTGTCTTTATCATTATTATCATCACTATTATCAATATCATTATAAATATTATCATTATCGTTGTTATAATTACTATTATTATTTTTACTAGCATTAGCATTATCACTATTATTGTTATTATAATTATCGCTACCATTATTATAACTATTATCATCATTATCATTGTTATTGCTATCACTATTATCATTTTACTATTATCATCATTATCATTATTGCCATTACTTTTATTATTATCATTATAAGCATTATTACTATTATTATTATCATGATTATTATCATTATTGGTATTACTATTGTTGTCATTATTATTGTTATTATCTCAATTACAATTATTACTATGTTTATCGTTATTATAATTATAGTTATCATTATCATCATCATTATTATTATTATTCATTATTATTATTATTACTACTACTACTACTCCTACTGCTACTATCATTATTATTATTATCATCTTTATTATCAACATTATCACCATCATCATTATTGTAATGACTATCATTGTCCTCATTTTCATTACTGTGAATATCATTATCATTAACATTTTTGTTGTAATTATCAGTGTTATTATTATATTATCATTATCACTATCATCATTATTGTTATTATTGCACTTACTGTTATTATTATTATTATCATTGTTATTGTCATTATTATTATTATTATTATATTATTACTATTGTTATTATCATTATTATTATATTATCATTACCATTGTTGTCATTATTTTCACTATTATCATTATCAATGATAATATCATTATTGTCATTGTAGTTCTCATTATCATTATCGTTAATATGATCAGTATTGCTGTTATTGTTATCATTAATGTTAGTATCATTACCATTACTATTATCATCAAAATTATTATTATTGTTGTTATGATTACTATTTTCATCTTCATTATCATAATCATTGTTTACTATTATTATTATCATCATTATCATTGTTCTCATTACCATTTCCATTATTATATTATCATCAACGATTAACGTAGGACCCTCTCGCCCCCGCAACAGCTGTCAAACAAACCTGTTCGGGCTCTGACGTCGAGGATGGTTCCGAGGATGAGGACGACCCTCAGATGATGCTCAAGCGAAAGCAGAGGCGCTCAAGGACGACTTTCACTGCCCATCAGTTGGACGAACTCGAGAAGGCTTTCGAGAGGACACAGTATCCTGACATATACACGCGTGAAGAATTAGCGCAAAGAACTAAACTCACTGAGGCTCGGATCCAGGTAAGAGATAGATCGATATATATATATATATATATATATATATATATATATATATATATATATATATATATATAGATAGATAGATAGATAGATAGATAGATAGATAGATAGATAGATAGATATAGATAGATAGATAGATAGATAGATAGATAGATAGATAGAGAGAGAGAGAGAGAGAGAGAGAGAGAGAATGGGTAAAGTAGACCAGGGATATACCTCTTGATGGAAATGTAGTACAGAAAAGCTTCGCATTTGGCTACCTGTTCCACTTGGCTATCAGATTTTGCAGTTACCACAAATGGATTTAGGGGGCGTGTTCCTCTCCGCCAAATAGATATCGCCGCAAAAACGACAAGCGCGTCCTAAACGTGTTGATGGGGCAAAGACTCAACGGTTTTCTCAAAATGACAACCGCGTCCTAAGCGTGTTGATGGGGCAAAGACTCAACGGTTTTCTCAAAATGACAACCGCGTCCTAAGCGTGTTGATGGGGCAAGGACTCAACGGTTTTCTCAAAATGACAACCGCGTCCTAAACGTGTTGATGGGGCAAAGACTCAACGGCCCAATGGGCCTTCGAGCATGGGGTACTGACCGATGGAGTGCGATATCGAGAACTCAACTCGGAGAGGTTGAGAGCCACCGACCTGCATTTGAAGTATCTAAAAAATAATCTCCTCGTTATTCTAAATAGAAATATAAGAAAAAAAAATATATATATATTTTGGTTTTGTCTTTAAAAAAACTGTTTTCAGTGCTAAACTATTTGCATTCGGTGAATAACTACTCACCAAATGCGAGGCTTTACTGTCCAGGAGGGTAAGGAAGGGGAGCTATAAGCATAAAATATATGGGACCAATGATCAAGATTGCGTGCAGTCCAACTAAGAGTACAGAATACAGTCGCGGTCGGATCACCTCTTGCCGGTCCGGCGCCGCCATTTGCCTCCCCGCTACACCCTCAACGCTCTCCCTCTCGGCCTCACCTCGCGTGCCTCTCCTCCCGACGCAGGTGTGGTTCAGCAACCGGCGGGCGAGGCTCAGGAAGCAGATGGCGTCCGGAAGTATCACAAATTTCAACGCGATGGGCCTCCCGATGTCTTATCCGTCGGCGCCGTCCTCGTACATGTTCCAAGGCTTCTCCGACCACGGCTCCAGCTTCTCCTCGCAGTCACAAGGTGGGCGGCCACGGTGTTCGTAGTGATAACAGTAATCATGAGGAAATAACATCAAGAAGAATGATGTTTGCTTTTATTGTTGTTAGTGTATTATGATCATTACTAACATTAACACTATTCTTATGAACTGTTTTATTCATATCTAATACTGTTCATGTCTTTATCATCTTTTATTATCATTACTATCATTATCATGATCATTATGATTATGATTATTACTATATTATCATGATCACTATCGCCACTTTTATTATCCTTATCATTAGGATTTTTAAAATAATTATCATTGTCGCTATCAGGATCATCATTATTATCATCGTTATTGTCATTAGCATTGCAACAGGAACAACGAAGGGAAGGACAAGAAAACACACGACATATTCGTGTGTTTTCTTGTCCTGTTGCAATCTGTTCGCCATGAATGCCACGCATGTGTTCTTCAAGGTAGTAGCAGCATACTCATTATTACTGCGACTACTGTGAACATGATTGTAATAGTAATCGTGATTGTTATTATGATAATGATTATTGTTATTAATGTTAATATTACTATTATTCTTATGGTAGTAATTATATTGATAGTAATAACAATAGGAGCAACAACAATGATAATAATGATAACATAATAGTTTTAATAACGATATTATCATTATCATTATCAGTACTATAATTAGTATTATGTCTATTATTACCATTATAATACAGTAGCGGTAGACGTATAATCATTATTTATTTTGTCATTATTATTATTATTATCATTATCACTTTTGTATCATCATCTTAGTATCATCGATTATTATTATTATTATTATCATTATTGTTATTATTATCAACGTTGATATTATTTTTATCCTCATCATTATCAATATTAATGTTATTATTGATATAATCATGAAAGTAAAAGTGATAATAATGAGGATTATAACAATGATAATAATGATAATAATAATGATAATAACAGTAATGATATTAATAACTATAACGATAACGATATTGGTAATGATAATGATGATAAAGATGATAATAATGATAATGATGATAAAGATGATAATAATGATAATGTGATGGTGATGATGATAATGATAGTGATAATGATGATAATGATAAAAATAATAATGATGATGACATTAACAATAAAACATTGACGAATTGAGATTATGATCATAAAGTTCGGATACTGGTGACAGCTTCAGTGATGATAATAACAGTAATAACCATAAAATCTGCTGATAATAATTAATTTCACCACCATGGTTACCATGCATCAGTGTGATGAGTATTGTTCTCCTGTTGCAGACCCCAGCGGGCTGTACCAGGGGGGTACCGAGGCCTTCACCAGGGTGCCTTGGCGACGGAGGCGCGGGCGGCCAACATGAGCGCCGCCGCCGCAGCCGCCGCCGCATCTTCGTACCCGTCCATGAGTGCCGCGCTTTCTTCGTGCACTAACTCTGCATTTATATCTTCTCAAGTAAGTTCAGCTTCGTTCTGATCCGTTGCCGTTTGGAGTATGTCTGCTGACCTGTTTTGTTTCCTTTTCTTTCGCTTTTCCTGCAGTGAGCGTTTCCCACGTCTCCTCCCCTCCTTTCGTCCGTTTCTCTCCCGGGCATTTGTTTGCTGTGCATCACAAGGCCTGTTTCTAAACGTCCCGCTGAGAGCGTCTTGTAAGCGTCGCTTTTCCCTCCCTCAGACGTCCGGCGGCATGTGCGGCGCCCAGGGTACTGGCGGGGCATCTTCAGGGTCAGTTCAACCCTCACTTCCGGCAACCCCGCATCGTGGGCCTCTAATCAGCTGCGTGGGGCTATGGGCGGGCACGGAGG